GAATCTCCGCTGAGGCGCTTAATCCTGATGGATTTTTTCCTCATTCCAGACATTGGAGTAGGGTCGTTAGGTTAGCTACGACCGATTTGCAACGTTCTTCGAAAAGTGCAGAGCGTCTGATCCAGGTGCTTTGTTACGCTGAAGTAATAAGACTACACCCTGGACTTCCGTCGAAAATGGTGGATTGATTTCGATGTCCCACTAGGGTTCAGTTAATCCTTCCAGAGAGTGAGTTGATGGGACCCAGCTGAGCTGTTCTTCAAATGTTCAGTCCATTTGTCAACAGATCCCATCATTTTTAGAAATGGTTCAACTGACATCCGGCATATTCAGACCAGCTAGTCGAATCAGCAAGAATATTGTGCCATTGTCGCCCGTTACAAAACCTCCATTTCCGGCCTTCTAAGGTCCACCAGCGCCCTCTGTCAAACCGTAGGCCCTTCGTGATTCGTACAAAAATTCACCCATGCAGTTTCTAGCTCGCTACCCCACTGAGCTTGAGACCAATTTTGGCTTCACTTTGTTGTTTCTGTTATCGGCTATTGTTTCTGTGGTGATAGGGATATGTTGATATCCTGCCCCACACAGGACTCGGTGAATGTCTACCCACATCTACTCAACTCTCTCCTCAAAACATGGAACAAAGTTCTGGGGTTCATTAAGTTCAAACTGAGAGTGCAATATTTCCGATAGGCGCATCAAGGGCTGTGCTCGTGAACGCATCATTTTCAAGTGGTTCTTGTGTATCATCTAGGGGTAACGGAGCACAAAGCTGTTATTTTGCGAGCATCACTTACCGATCCTCTTGTTGTCAGTTTCTGTCCAGATTGCCTGAGTGAATGTCTGGAAGTGTAGGCACCTCGGAATGACTGTGTTAAGCTAGCACTAAGTCCCTCCCCCATTCACCTTTATTCTTTTCTTTACAATAAGGCTTTCAAATAAGTCATGGCTGTACGGCAGTGAAGCATCGGTGTTGAACACTGATGTCATGCTGTCGATGATTATGATGACTTACCGATCCAAGTGGACTCCGCACACACAGAAACGAGCAACTGTGGGAAGGAGTGGTGAATGCCAACTCATACTAAATGACGTACCATTCCCACCTTACCGTCATAATCATTATCGGTTGTAGGTAGTGTTCATGTAAGTGATTATAGCAGCCACAGTTTTGTTCGCTGGTGATCTGGGAATACAGGGATGGATAGCTACACGTTCGAGAAAGTAGCGAACATCATCGATGCGTGAATCCAGGATACACAGTGGACCTTTCCATAAAGAAGATCCGGATGGGAGGCTATACAGTGAGAGCAATAGCTTCGATGCATGAGCTTCATTGGGAGTGTCACTGTCAGAAAGACAGCTTCTGTGAAGATTTGTCACAGTTACACTGGTAAGCGAGAAACACAGATATCTTGGTTCCGGCAGGGAGTACAAATGCTCAGTTTGCCTAGCTTAAACCTGACGAGGTCTATCTCGGCGACCGCTTCGGGTGATGCACACCGCACAAATAATGGGGAACGGCTTCTTTAATTATGTGCTGAAAATCATTTGTTTCTATTCAACACAAACGTTTAGCCTAAACGCTCACACGGTGACTTGGGTATCACCAACTGCAAACCAGGCGTGCGCTCAGTTGGACCAAATGGCACACAGTTACCGGTTGAAAAATTTGATAAGATCGTCGCAAATGTTTGAGCACACCACTTGACTGCAATCAAAGCATTGTGATGGCACGTGATTTTATTGACTAGCCTTCTGAAACGGATCGGTTGATAGGAATCAATTCAGGTTTTTCGTCTCTAGCTCAACAATACCGAGTTGATTTGGCTAAGAAGCTCCCAGAACTCGATCGGAACAAGGAATCACAAGAGTTGAGGTACGGATAGGCTGTCCAAGTCTCGACGAAAGCAGTGAGGATGTGGGGGTGGGTTTGAACCACGGACCTTCTGATCACTAATTTTCGAACATTGACGAATGAGCTGTCCCAGGATTCAATTGACGTGTGGAATTTTTTATTTCATACTATCAGAACATTCAACAGATAGAAGTTTGGTGATTCAAATAATGATTGAGAAAACATCTGATGCTGCGTTCTTTCTCGGCCCCGAGCACCACCCGGAAATATGTCGGCTAGACATAACAGCGAGAATAAGAGAAATTATGATGTTGGTAGTGTGAGGAGATTTGGGTGAAACTTCTATCTGAGAAGTCGTTGCTCGAGGAGCCAGTCAACACGTGTAACCGCGTGATGTGGATCCCGTGATTGAAAGATGAGCGGCGCTATATCCTGTCTAAGTGCGAGTTAATCACACTGCTGATCAGCCGCCCGTGGCCGAATGGTTAAGTGTTCAAACTATTAGCCAGGAGGTCGAGGGTTTGAGACTCTTCAGAGTTTCGTGAGATGCGCACTGCTGATGATTCCCAATAAGGATGAAACAGCTGTACAGTGCTTCTCGGTTTTTCAGCATAGATTGGCGTATTGATGTACTTGCGTCCCCCTTGAAGTTGAAACCCCATATGAAAGAATTCTTGGGTTTCGATTCTCTGTACACTGGATTATGTTGAGAGAATGTTCCGTTAACACTCAACCTTGTTCATTTAGTGCGTACTGATCAATGTCCTCGTCAAACAATTCACCTGGACACGCCAAGGTCGTAGCACACTATAACAGCCTTGTTGCACAGGTACAACGGCTCCAGGACTTCCGATTGATTCCTCCTAATAACGGCAGCCGATCGTAGAGGTCATCCATACTTGACTGAGCTTCATAGGGCTGTGCCACAGCGACTCCTGTAGACGATGACATCCAACTACGACTAAGTTACCCAACTGTTAACTGTGGACCGGCTAGGCAAGACCGGACAACTGTATACTGCATCCTGTTGTCAATTCCGGGTTGAATAGCTGCAGTTTCTGTCAACTGCATTCCGCCTAACACGCACAAGCACCTGTATTGGCCGAGTGGCAAATTCTGTACATTAATCGGATGACAGCCGTCCTGTTGTGCTCATAACCTTGGTGTCATCCTTTTGTTGCAGGGTATGTCGGTAGCACACATTAAATTCACATTCAATTTGTTCAGTCGAACTGGGTCAAAAGTCCTTGAAAAAGTTTGAGTAACGTTGTAGGGGGGCATTACATACCTGATAACTTCCGTCTGGTCCAATGAAAACTTTCATACATCCCATGTGTGGGGAAATCGGTCACACAGGTCTAGATCCGAACAACTAAAAAAACTAATTGTGTGTTGCAAAACACGCTTTTCTCCACCTGACTAGATAAATTCCGTGGGACCAGTTTATTTTGAAATTCGGGCTATTCAAACGCATGATTGTGGCGCTAAGGCGCCCATCCTTTCATGCTATAACTCTCTTGAGAAACTGAGTCTCACGCACAAGAGCTCCAAGTGTCTAGGTTACCTGTGATCTTCGCCTAGTGCTTGTTTGCATTCAACTTGCAATCTAACGCGGTTCAGCTTAACCAGGATCGTTAATCAAGCATCTCTATAAGCACCGCAACTCTAGGGAGGTATTCCACCACGCCGATAAAATGGCCCACCCCCTTTCTGATAGCAACAGCCAGTATCTCCCCGCAAAGCTGCCTGACTCTAAACTAAGCAACTAATTTCGAGATACATGTGAACCTCGAATCACAGCAATTTGTGGTTTATATTACTTTTACCTGATTCCGTCTGCTAAGGAGGAGTCACGGGAATTTTCACCATATTATTTTAGCTCAGTGTTTCCCGTGTCTGAACCTGTTTCTATTTTTTTCACCCGCCTTTTTTTCATAAATTACAGACAGGTCCCACTAGCCCACCCCCAAGCGAAGCCATGCTACAAGTCTACAATGCATGCACGCAGTACAATGCAAAGAATCGACCTACCACCAAATCCCTTCTTCAGACCCCCTGGATCCAATGGGGCTTGGGACTCGAACCCGATTATGACCACCTGGAAAACTATTCAGAGCAATCTCCACCCAATGTGTGAGAAAACAACAGCCCCGCATATTTATGAGAATACTTCGTTCATACATGTGAAACAGTAACTTATGTACACACATCTTTGACTTTGTTCAAATACTTGCTACTACAGCTCCAATACGAATTCATTCTAGATTCGGGACCGTTGAAATAGTGTTTCTCAAACTTGTCGGCGACTCCTGGATCCATGAGAGAAGTTCCATATAACTGAATACCTAGCGTGATCCAGGAGCGAGAAGAGCGGAGTGTGAGTTGAAGGAAGAATACCGATGAGATTATGCATAGTTGAACGGTGAGCACGAACATCATAGAAGTAAAATCTAAGAACCGTGTATTTAAAGATGACTGTACCTGCCAGTATGAATGAAACCAGGACTAGGTGACAGCAACGTATCATCAGAGAGAGACAGTGTTGTGAAGTCTTTCGGCGAAGCTGTGCAACACCAGAACAAAAACTAGGGACGCCAGTTTCCAAAAATCAGCTGGCAGAGAGGACTGGAACTCCATTTGACGACCAACCTTGCGGCCTCTTCGATACATTTCCTGGGGTTATCTACCATGATAGCCATCTTATGTTGCATATGTCTGGACTAAGAGTAACACATTTGATCTCGAACGAGAGGACACCCTTGCTAGACTTCAATGAATATGGCGAACTTCGGTGAGAGCTTATCGTTCAGTGTTTGCAAAATGAATGGTGATCAGAAACTTTCCGTCTCCCGAATAAGAGGTTTGGGGTGGCTAATTTGTTGTGTGACTTTCGCCTAGAACTTGTTTTAATTCAACTTACTATCTAACGCGGTTCAGCTTTAGTATACCTTAATCGAGATCAT